GGAGAGAACCTGGAGGGAACCTGGAGGGAACCTGAAGGGAACCAGGAGGGAACCAGGAGAGAACCTGGAGGGAACCAGGAGAGAACCTGGAGAGAACCTGGAGGGAACCAGGAGAGAACCTGGAGGAACCTGGAGGAAACCTGGAGAGAACCTGGAGGGAACCAGGGAGAACCTGGAGGGAACCAGGAGGGAACCTGGAGGGAACCAGGAGAGAACCTGGAGGGAAACAGGAGGGAACCTGGAGGGAACCAGGAGAGAACCTGGAGGGAACCAGGAGAGAACCTGGAGGGAACCAGTAGGGAACCTGGAGGAAACCTGGAGGGAACCAGGAGGGAACCTGGAGGGAACCAGGAGAGAACCTGGAGGGAACCTGGAGGAAACCTGGAGAGAACCTGGAGGGAACCAGGGAGAACCTGGAGGGAACCTGGAGGGAACCAGGAGAGAACCTGGAGGGAACAGGAGGGAACCTGGAGGGAACCAGGAGAGAACCTGGAGGGAACCAGGAGAGAACCTGGAGGGAACCAGGAGAGAACCTGGAGGGAACCAGGAGAGAACCTGGAGGGAACCTGGAGGAAACCTGGAGAGAACCTGGAGGGAACCAGGGAGAACCTGGAGGGAACCTGGAGGGAACCAGGAGAGAACCTGGAGGGAAACAGGAGGGAACCTGGAGGGAACCAGGAGAGAACCTGGAGGGAACCAGGAGAGAACCTGGAGGGAACCAGAGAACCTGGAGGGAACCAGGAGAGAACCTGGAGGGAACCAGTAGGGAACCTGGAGGGAACCTGGAGGAAACCTGGAGGGAACCAGGAGGGAACCTGGAGGGAACCAGGAGAGAACCTGGAGGGAACCTGGAGAGAACCTGGAGGGAACCAGGAGAGAAGCTGGAGGAAACCTGGAGAGAACCTGGAGAGAACCAGGAGGAAACCTGGAGAGAACCTGGAGAGAACCTGGAGGAAACCTGGAGAGAACCTGGAGGAAACCTGGAGAGAACCTGGAGGAAACCTGGAGAGAACCTTGAGGGAACCTGGATCTGTTGCTGTTCCAGCGTCCAGGACAATCCTAACAGGCTTCCGTTACAGCGTTTCTGTTCTGTGAAGCTAGCTCGATGCTAACGCAGTAAGCAGGATGTTCGCTCTTATGTTTAGTCTTAGACATTTTTCTTGTGAGACGTTCAGACTCACTAAACCCACAGCAGGCAAAACAAGACAAGGCAGCATGAGGAAATCTGAGCTCTGCACACGAAACTGATTAGAGGAGCTGCACATGCTGCGCCTTCTTCAGACATCCAAACTCATCTGTTGATTCCTGATTACTTCCTGATTGGTTCCTTGATTGTTCCTGATTGGTTCCAGCTTGGGCGTGTTTAGTTATTTTCATGTTTTCTTTATGAAAGAGACGCCGGAAGCTGGGCCGGTGGAGCTCCAACGTTTTGCCTGGAGAGAGATCCTGGGCTGTTGGGGAAGCTTGATCGAACGCTGGAGGGACTAGGACTTCTCTGGAAGATTGTCGCCCAATTCGAGGACGTCAAATCGGGCCGATGTCCGGCCCCAATACCTGGACAGACTGGAGTTCATTCCAGGCCTGGAGAAAGAGACCGCCAGGACCATAAACCTGGTGAGACGTTTCCTTATTTCCCTTCATTTTTCGGACACAGACAGATGAATCATTTGGGCCCCATCGTTATTTTTGTGAGTGCATGGATACATTTTTGAGCAAATAACTGCAGACTTTTTGTTGGATATTTATTGTGATTGAAAGATATATTTCAGAAACTGTTTCAGATTTGGTTTGGTTCAAAATGTCGATTAGAACAGCTGATTTATTAAACATAACGTCTCCACCTGCACTTGTAAGCTGACGTGTCTGATCGTTTTTTGAAAATTAATTTCATTCAATTTGCCCTTTCTAGTATTGATTAGGACAGGCTGTTAATATACTAATTTCTAAATAGTTAAAAAAATAATTGAATTCTCTTAAGCGTTTGCAATCTCCCATTTAAACGGGAAACTCTTGCAACAGCTGCCCGGTTCTACGTGTTCTGACCCGCTTCTTTCTGCTGCCGCTGCGCCCGACATTAGCGCTAGCTGCTACCTGTATAGCATTCAGATGTTATTTTAGGCTAGCATAGCTTCGCTAATGCTAACTGCTTTTAGCATCCTGTTAGCATCTTTTCCAGCAGCAGATTGTTTGGAAATGGGCTCTTTTGCACCTCAGCTTCCGCGTTTTTTCCGGTACATTAAACATGTCATTTTACAGTAGGTGTTTGCAGGGCTTGCCAAAGCTAACAATTAATGACGTACATCGGATTTGTAAGGCGGGATCCAAAGCCCCATCAAGCAAACTAGAAAAAGGTTTTCAGATGTACGTCTCATCATATATTCATGGATATGAGGGTGAGTATTACTTTAAAGTTCTTAAAACTTCGTGGCTAATGTTTAGCTTTAGCTTATGCTAATATGCATATTCTCGGACATTTTACTCATACAATTGTGCTATTTATATATCTAAACATTCTTATTCTTTCTAAGTACAATATTGTATTTATTTTTAAGTGTATAGTTTGATTGTGTTTGTTGTCGTTAGTGTCAAACAGAGACCAAGTAACGGGGGAGATCACATTCAGGCTTTTTGCTTCCGAAGCATGAGAAACCCCATGACTTAAAAGTAGGGCAGCACAAAAAATTTTTTCAGTTTGAGTTCAGCTGAATGTTCAGGTTCAAATTTGTTATTTTGATAAATATAAGGCCGTGTTCCTTAAGGCCTACGTGTTATTTCGTTTTACTACTTGTGCATGTGTAGCCGACTTGAACTCTGCCTTGTGTAATAAAAGGGACCAGCAGACGAAGACTCGGGATGTCTAGCAGGTTCATTCTGTTTGAAACAAAAATAAATCAGTGCAGCGGTCTGGGCTCCGACCTTCCCATACACAGCACACACCTTAAACGACCAAAAATAGAATAACCAGGTTGGCTTGATAAACTCAACAAATGTCGAAACGGTGGAATCAAACACCCAATACAGAGCTGCACCAACATAAAACAGTAGAAAACCAATATATAAGATATGTTAAGTTATCAAACATACTTTTTTAAAATATTTTGAATATTTTCACAAACAAACTGATGACAGCTAGTACACTCACCTCTCCCCAGCGCAGTTCGGCGCGAACAGAGGAGAGTAGCGCGAACACACCGGATGTGATGCAAAACCGGAAACAAGAAAATAAACAGGAAACAAGAAAATAAAAGCTTCTTTACCAAAATAAAATTACAACTCGAAATCGAAGAAAAACAAATATACATAGATAATGAAGATGGATTTGGGATGAAATATAAACAATTTTTTTTACATACTTGCTACACATGCTTCTTGTGGGTTTGTGTTTACAGCCTCCTCCAGTTCAGACATATTTAATTAAGAAACCAGAGGTGGGGCGAGTAACCCAAATTTTAAAAAGAAAAAGGTTTGCGGTGTTAGCTTAGCTTACCTTGTGTAAAATCGTATGTCATTGTCAGACCCAGCGAACCTTTGTAATCCAAAGGCAGATTGAATTTTTAGTTCTTTAATCTGGTTAGTTACAGCTTTTATTTCTTCTTTTAATTTCTCATTTTCATTTATTGCCATGTCCAGGCTAGCTGGTTCTGGGACACAGCAATAATCGTGATCAGCATAAGTGCATCACAGCTGCTGGCTGTCAGTCAGGCTCTGGTCTGCTCACTCGTTCCCAAACACTGGCTCTTTCAGGCTGAACTCAGAAGTTGTTCCACTGAAATAACAAAGGGACGGCTCCTTTCTTTACCATTCTTCTCCCACCTGCAGTTTTAGGTTGAAAAAGTTGATCTGGAGGGAAGTGAAGGCTGAAAACTTTGCTATGAGCTGTTAGCTTGAATTTGACTCCGCAAATATTTATAAGCCACCGTCTTTTTACCTCAGGATGTTTCGGAAATCCGTGAAAACTTAAAAGGCCGTTATGTTTGGAGGACGTTATGCACCGTGGAACACAACAGTGTTCGTGGTATTGCTTAAATTGCTTTTGAAATATGACTTTGTCTTTCCTTCCGGTCATGGTCGGGTTACGTTAACCGTAAAGCGGAAAAAAAATAGCCGCATATGCGCATGCGGATGTGACGTCAGCGCGGCAGGTGCAAAGAGCCCATATGAACGGGAGCAGCAGCTTCATCACTGCTGCTAGCAGATGTAGCTGTGCGTCAGCTTTATGGTCGTACCAGAAACACAAGAATAGAAAGGTTCCACTTTGGTGTTTTGTCTGTCAAGGAACAAACTAGATTGATTTGGGTCCATAGTTTATTGGGTCAAAATGCCACCTGGTTCTCTACACAGTAACAATAATCTGCACAAACACAGTTTTAGTTTTTTATTCTTTAACTTTTTGTTTGTTTCTTTTATCATTATTTCTGCATCACACGGCTGCGTGGACTCCGGCGCAACCCAGTCAGGTTCTGTTCCTGGTTCCTGCACAGAACCGACGCCTGAAGTGTTCAGAGACTGGTCCTACTGAACAGAACCGCCTGCTGACCCGGTTCTACCAGGTCCAGTTTCCTTCAGCAGGACTTTTTCCTTCCTGATTGGCTGGAAACTCTTTCTGGTTCTGAACTGGTTCCATTTCAGAACCGCTCTGAGCCAGGCCCGATTCTGCTCCTCCTCCCGCCTCATCCAATCCACGGCACCAGCGGGAACAAAACCGGGATCTGGACCCGCTCTCCCGCTGACAATCTGTTTACCTCTGGGTAAACAGGTTCTGTTTCTGAGCTGGGCCAGAACAGCCTGTGGGAAACCGGGCCGGTCCAGAATCCCGGCGTCTCCTCTGTAAACATGCTGCTGTCGGTTCTGGAGCCGCCGGGTCAGGACGAACCGGTACGGAGCCAGAAGGATGATGACTGCAGCGAATGTCACTTCCTGTTTGACTAGATGAAACTCTGAGTGGAACCAGGGCAACAAGGTTCGCTAATTTAACCCCCGCCCCCAGCCGGTTTTGCACCCCAGCACGTCATTTGCCCCACAGCTCGTCGCCCCCACTGCTGCGCGTGCTTGCCCTTTCTCGGCGGTGCAGTCGCAGCATCTCCAGGACGCTGCGGGCGTAGGCGTCCCTCAGGTTGGCTCTGCCCCCAGTGGGGTCGGCTCCGCCCCCCAGCGAGCCGCGGGTCAGCCTCCGGAGTGTGTCGGCGTGGCGCAGCGCGGCCTCCCGGACCTTCAGGGTGAAGTAGCAGGCGGAGAAGCGGTCGTTGATGATGGCGATGGGCAGCGCCAGGATCAGGATGCCAGACAGGATGCAGAGGAAGGCCAGCGTCTTCCCTGCCGCCGAGTCGGGACGCACGTCGCCGTAGCCCACCGTGGTCATGGAGGTGGTGGCCCACCACCAGGCGGCCGGCACGCTGGTGAAGGTGGAAGCCGGGAGGTCGTGCTCCAGGGCGAACACCAGGGCGGCAAAGATGGAGATTCCCACGCCGAGGAAGAGGAGCAACACGCCGACTTCCTCATAACACTGAGCGATGGTCATTCCCAGAGAGCGCAGGCCTGCAGGGGGAGAAGGACCAGTTCATTCAGGAACTGTTCAGAGAAAAGAACCAGTTCATTCAGGAACTGTTCAGAGAAAAGAACCAGTTCATTCAGGAACTGTTCAGAGAAAAGAACCAGTTCATTCAGGAACTGTTCAGAGAAAAGAACCAGTTCATTCAGGAACTGTTCAGAGAAAAGAACCAGTTCATTCAGGAACTGTTCAGAGAAAAGAACCAGTTCATTCAGGAACTGTTCAGAGAAAAGAACCAGTTCATTCAGGAACTGTTTACATAAAGGAACCAGTTCATTCAGGAACTGTTCAGAGAAAAGAACCAGTTCATTCAGGAACTGTTCAGAGAAAAGAACTGGTTCATTGGGGAACTGTTCAGAGAAAAGAACCAGTTCATTCAGGAACTGTTCAAAGAAAAGAACCAGTTCATTCAGGAACTGTTTACATAAAGGAACCAGTTCATTCAGGAACTGTTCAGAGAAAGAACCAGTACATTCAGGAACTGTTCAGAGAAAAGAACCAGTTCATTCAGGAACTGTTCAGAGAAAAGAACCAGTTCATTCAGGAACTGTTTACATAAAGGAACCAGTTCATTCAGGAACTGTTCAGAGAAAAGAACCAGTTCATTCAGGAACTGTTTACATAAAGGAACCAGTTCATTCAGGAACTGTTCAGAGAAAAGAACCAGTTCATTCAGGAACTGTTCAGAGAAAAGAACCAGTTCATTCAGGAACTGTTTACATAAAGGAACCAGTTCATTCAGGAACTGTTCAGAGAAAAGAACCAGTTCATTCAGGAACTGTTCAGAGAAAAGAACCGGTTCATTGGGGAACTGTTCAGAGAAAAGAACCAGTTCATTCAGGAACTGTTTACATGAAGGAACCAGTTCATTCAGGAACTGTTCAGAGAAAAGAACCGGTTCATTGGGGAACTGTTCAGAGAAAAGAACCAGTTCATTCAGGAACTGTTTATATAAAGGAACCAGTTCATTCAGGAACTGTTCAGAGAAAAGAACCGGTTCATTGGGGAACTGTTCAGAGAAAAGAACCAGTTCATTCAGGAACTGTTTACATGAAGGAACCAGTTCATTCAGGAACTGTTCAGAGAAAAGAACCAGTTCATTCAGGAACTGTTCAGAGAAAAGAACCAGTTCATTCAGGAACTGTTTACATAAAGGAACCAGTTCATTCAGGAACTGTTCAGAGAAAAGAACCAGTTCATTCAGGAACTGTTCAGAGAAAAGAACCAGTTCATTCAGGAACTGTTCAGAGAAAAGAACCAGTTCATTCAGGAACTGTTCAGAGAAAAGAACCAGTTCATTTAGGAACTGTTTACATAAAGGAACCAGTTCATTCAGGAACTGTTCAGAGAAAAGAACCAGTTCATTCAGGAACTGTTCAGAGAAAAGAACCAGTTCATTTAGGAACTGTTTACATAAAGGAACCAGTTCATTCAGGAACTGTTCAGAGAAAAGAACCAGTTCATTCAGGAACTGTTCAGAGAAAAGAACCAGTTCATTCAGGAACTGTTCAGAGAAAAGAACCAGTTCATTTAGGAACTGTTTACATAAAGGAACCAGTTCATTCAGGAACTGTTCAGAGAAAAGAACCAGTTCATTCAGGAACTGTTTACATAAAGGAACCAGTTCATTCAGGAACTGTTCAGAGAAAAGAACCAGTTCATTCAGGAACTGTTCAGAGAAAAGAACCGGTTCATTGGGGAACTGTTCAGAGAAAAGAACCAGTTCATTCAGGAACTGTTTACATAAAGGAACCAGTTCATTCAGGAACTGTCAGAGAAAAGAACCAGTTCATTCAGGAACTGTTTACATAAAAGAACCAGTTCATTCAGGAACTGTTCAGAGAAAAGAACCAGTTCATTCAGGAACTGTTCAGAGAAAAGAACCAGTTCATTCGGGAACTGTTTACATAAAGGAACCAGTTCATTCAGGAACTGTTCAGAGAAAAGAACCAGTTCATTGGGGAACTGAATGATGGTCTTTCCCAGAGACCAGGATTTGGAGAGAGAGGATAAAGAACTGGTTCAGCCCTGAACCTTTTCCTGATCCTGTTCAGAAAGGACAGGATCAGGATAAAGATAAAGACTGTGTTGCTCTGATCTGCCTTCAGGACATTCATCCTGTTTCTTGAGTAAAGATGTTGTTGACGTCACTTTAGTTACTGGTGCTGGTTCTGGTTATTCTGGGTTCCTGCTCCAGTTTCCTCTGCTTCCTGCATTATTCATGAGTGATCGGAGCAGCTTCTTCAGCTCATGGAGTCTCTGCTAATATCAGACGTTGAATCGTGTTTTCTCTGCCAGCTGCTTTCTCTTCACATCAGGAGGGAATGGGGGAGTCAGGGGGACCTGTGATTGGTCCTCACGCCTCGCCGCATTACGCTGCTCTTTGTCGGCTGTGGTTTCAAAAACAGGAAACAGCCAGTTTGTTCAGGAATATTTAGGACACAACAAGCAGCCAGGCTGAGGAAAAGCTGCATGGAACTCATGTTTAGTAATGATGTAGCCGCTCTGGGCAATGTGTTGACCCGCTGGTTGCTCTTTGTGGCGGCAAATGAAGGGAATCTGTGATTGGATGAACAGACACAGAGCGCTGCCAGGACCAGCTCCACTGTGAACGCACACACCACACGTTGAGCATGCGCTCGCACCAGACTGACGGCCCAGAGCAAACCGTGACGATAACTGCCTTTATAGTCACTCTGGTAGGTTGGCATTGAGCGATCAAGCAGTCAGGCTTGATACTTGGTGCAGTATTCTCCAAAAAGTCGATCTTCACAGAGGGGCCATTAAATGCCGCTACAGGGGAACCTGCTCTGCACAACCTCCTTCCTACTGGGAAGGTATTATGTTTAGTTTGTTTCTCTGGGGAAACGCTGACAGAGTCCATGCTCTGGACTGGCCATGGCAAAGTCCCGACTGCAGCACCACAGAAAACAGATCGAGTCAGAGTGAACAGGTGAAGCAGGAAGCCTTAAAACTCCACCCAGTAAGACTGGGATGAGCTAAGGTCCCAGTAAACCTTGCAGAAGGAAACCCAGAACATCTGACCCAAATCAGTTCTATTAAGCTTTAATGGTTGAGAGAAAGAGTTGAGGTGTACTTTCTAGTGAAGCGTTTACCTGTGGAGTGTCGACCCAGCTTCAGCATGCGCAGGATCCGGAGGAGGCGCAGCACCTGGACCACCCGGCCCACGTTCTCCAGCTCGGTGGAGCCGCCATGGAGGCTCTCCACTGCCAGCGTCACATAGAAGGGCAGGATGGCCAGCAGGTCGATCACGTTGGGGATGCTTCGACTGAACCGGCACTTGTCCCGGACGCAGGCGAAGCGCAGCACCAGCTCACCTGTGAACCACAGGACGCACACGTACTCCACGCCGTCGAGCAGCCGCGGCCCGCTGGCGCCGAGCCAGCTCACGCCGAAGTCCTGGTCCAGGTCCAGAGAGATCAGCACCATGTTGACGACTGACAGCACCACGAAGAAGATGGAGAGGGAGCCAAAAGTTCGGGCGGCGCGAGACGATTCCGGTCTCTCCAGAATGTCCCAGAGACGCCGACGCAGGCCTGGACAGAGCGTACCTACAAAGTCCTCCTCTTCTTCATCAGTCTCAAACTCCTGCTGGACATCCAGGGACTCTTTCTGCTCCTTGCGGCGGTAGTAGCGTTCTCGGCAGCAGGAGTCGATGCGGAGTTCGTCGATGCCCCAGTACTCGATCTCCTGGAGGAAGGAGATCTCACACAGCTCCTCCATGACATGAAGGTGACCCGTCTGGTAGAAGTTCATCACATACCTGGACCAAGCAAAGAAATGAATGAAACAAAGCCTGAACAGCCTGACGTTTCTGGAAACATGAGAAAGGTGGTGGACCTGAAACCAGATCAGCCCTGACTGGATGTTTCCTCCTCTCCACAGACATCAGGGGCATAAAACTCTGCGCGGTTTTCACTAAAACAAATTTAGAAAAGACTCAAGATGTCTGAAGCCGAGCTGCGATCAGACTTGCTTCATGATTTGCTGCTCCGCCCGTCGCCTCCATCAATACATATTCATGTCATTTGGTATAAATACTGTTAGGAACTAAAAAGAGGAATAACTTGATTTAGCTCTTTAATTAATTCTTCTTTGTCCCGAATTCTTGTGTCTGTATAAATGTGCAGAGAGAAAAGAGCAATCATATGACGTCAGACTTCAGATATCCAGAGTTTTATCCAGAGAAAATCAATCCAAGAAGAATGTGCAATAATCATCTCACCTAGATCATCAAAAGTCCAAGACATGACAAAACAGAAACAATTAACTGAGTAAAAAGGGAAACAGAAACAAACAAAAGATGCATCTTCTGGGAAACTCTCACTCAGCACAAAGAGATTCGGACTTCAGCTCTAAAACAAACCATTTTATAATAATGTGTATTCTCTTCATTTAAAATATGCATTAGGAGGTGCGTTTTCCTTTGTGGGCCTTCCCATTGATTTTATTACCTCCTGCTAAAGAACCCAAAGGCAGATATATGGATCGTCCAACTGGGTCTCTGCCGTACCAGGCGTCTCCTGCAACTCTCCCTGAGCTAAATTTACGACCTCTGTCTGTTTTAGTTTTCTGCCTCAAATGATTCCACAAGAAAGTAGTTTGTATTTTTAACCAAGCTTGCACAAAATGTAATGCTAAATAATGACTATAAGTTTGGATCTAAGAAGTAACTAATTCAAAACATGCTTAAAGAAATATAGTTAATTCTAATATAGATAAAATTATTTATAAAAAGTTTTAAGATCCTATTGAACTTTTGAACCATGCTCAGGAATTTGTTCACTGCCTGGCAGACAGACTCCCTGTCTAAAGAGATTCTAGGCTGTTTTCTGTAGAATCCTCCTAAGAATTTATATAAGTTCAGAGATTCAGCAGTTGTTTTAGTTTGGATCTTTATCTAAATTTATATGAACATAGAGTGTACTTTAGCTTTCTATGGTATATTCATATGTATCAAACTATCCTGTGCAGTATTGTGCTAATTTAAAATATTATTTCAACACTGGTCAGAAGTCTGCAGCCGTAACCATGGCAACGGCCTTGTTGTACCAGGTAAGTATCTGTAACAATAATAATAATCTATTTTATTTAAAGGTGCTTTCAGGGCACAGAAGGGCCTGGTACCGGTACCGGTCCAGTGACGTTCGGTGAGCTTTAGGTAGAAAAAGTTTACTTGGCTGCTGCACATTGTCACAGCAGGTCAAAGCTTTCAAAGCAGATTTATTTATATTATTTTTATATTTCACGCCAAATACATTTTAATTTTTGATGTAAAATATGGCGCCACACATTTTATTGTGCACACGGCGTTTAGACCGAGGAGCTGGGTCATCACGCGGCGCTTTGTCAGGCTGATCTGACGGCAGAACGACAGGAATAAAGCCCTAAGGGAGACTTTCAGTTTTGAAAGGTAGTCTAAGCATCCAGTCCTGGTCCTGGCGGGCTGCTGTCCTGCAGCTCTTGGACGTCTCCCTGGAGGTCGCCTCCCTGCAGGTCGTCTCCCTGCAGGTCGTCTCCCTGGAGGTCGCCTCCCTGCAGGTCGTCTCCCTGGAGGTCGTCTCCCTGGAGGTCGTCTCCCTGCAGGTCGTCTCCCTGGAGGTCGCCTCCCTGCAGGTCGTCTCCCTGGAGGTCGTCTCCCTGGAGGTCGTCTCCCTGCAGGTCGTCTCCCTGGAGGTCGCCTCCCTGCAGGTCGTCTCCCTGGAGGTCGTCTCCCTGGAGGTCGTCTCCCTGCAGGTCGTCCCTGGAGGTCGCCTCCCTGCAGGTCGTCTCCCTGGAGGTCGTCTCCCTGCAGGTCGTCTCCCTGGAGGTCGTCTCCCTGCAGGTCGTCTCCCTGCAGGTCGTCTCCCTGCAGGTCGTCTCCCTGCAGGTCGTCTCCCTGCAGGTCGTCTCCCTGCAGGTCGCCTCCCTGCAGGTCGTCTCCCTGGAGGTCGTCTCCCTGGAGGTCGTCTCCCTGCAGGTCGTCTCCCTGGAGGTCGCCTCCCTGCAGGTCGTCTCCCTGGAGGTCGTCTCCCTGGAGGTCGTCTCCCTGCAGGTCGTCTCCCTGGAGGTCGCCTCCCTGCAGGTCGTCTCCCTGGAGGTCGTCTCCCTGCAGGTCGTCTCCCTGGAGGTCGTCTCCCTGCAGGTCGTCTCCCTGCAGGTCGCCTGCAGGTCGTCTCCCTGCAGGTCGTCTCCCTGCAGGTCGTCTCCCTGCAGGTCGTCTCCCTGCAGGTCGTCTCCCTGGAGGTCGCCTCCCTGGAGGTCGCCTCCCTGGAGGTCGTCTCCCTGCAGGTCGTCTCCCTGGAGGTCGCCTCCCTGCAGGTCGCCTCCCTGCAGGTCGTCTCCCTGCAGGTCGTCTCCCTGGAGGTCGCCTCCCTGCAGGTCGTCTCCCTGGAGGTCGCCTCCCTGCAGGTCGTCTCCCTGGAGGTCGCCTCCCTGCAGGTCGTCTCCCTGGAGGTCGCCTCCCTGCAGGTCGTCTCCCTGCAGGTCGTCTCCCTGCAGGTCGTCTCCCTGCAGGTCGTCTCCCTGCAGGTCGTCTCCCTGCAGGTCGTCTCCCTGGAGGTCGCCTCCCTGCAGGTCGCCTCCCTGCAGGTCGTCTCCCTGGAGGTCGCCTCCCTGGAGGTCGCCTCCCTGCAGGTCGTCTCCCTGGAGGTCGCCTCCCTGGAGGTCGCCTCCCTGCAGGTCGTCTCCCTGCAGGTCGTCTCCCTGCAGGTCGTCTCCCTGCAGGTCGTCTCCCTGGAGGTCGTCTCCCTGCAGGTCGTCTCCCTGGAGGTCGTCTCCCTGGAGGTCGTCTCCCTGCAGGTCGCCTCCCTGCAGGTCGCCTGCAGGTCGTCTCCCTGGAGGTCGTCTCCCTGGAGGTCGTCTCCCTGGAGGTCGTCTCCCTGAGGTCGCCTCCCTGGAGGTCGTCTCCCTGGAGGTCGTCTCCCTGGAGGTCGTCTCCCTGCAGGTCGTCTCCAGAGTAACGACCTCATTATTTGACTCAGGTGTGTTGAAATGGAGACGTATCTAAAAGTTGCAGGACGGCGGCCCACCCTGACTTGGGCTAAAGGTCAAAGGAATGCTGCATGATGATGGCTGTTTTGAGTGCAGAGGAAAACCTACTGGAAGGTTTGGGAGCTTCTGTCGAAGAAGAATTCATTCAGGAGGAAGTCTGCGTCATCGCAGAGCTCCAGCGCAGCGTCTCGACCGCAGCAGACCAGCTTCCCCAGGCGAGTCTCTGGGTGGGACGCCAGCAGCTCCTGGGACAGGACGTAGCGACTCCCCCCGACATTGACGACCAGAGCGTCAAGCGGGTCCCTCACGCACGGCGCCGGCGTCTCGCTGAAGAAGACGCTGGAGTTCAAAGACAGCAGGGAGGCGGCGTCAGCGAACGCCTCCAGGCCCGCCATGGAGGACGAGGCGGCAGCTGGAGAAAAGGAGACAGGACACATCTGGGTCAGAAGCGCTCTGGTCACTGATGTCTGGGGAACATCTGGATCTGACAGGAACAGATGCTGGGGGCGAGAGAGGGAAGGAGAGAGAGAGCGACCGTGGGGTTTCTGATTTCAACAACATGGGCAGCTGCCCAGGGCGGCAGGAGGAGGGGCCTCCCTCACAATGCTTCTTTGATGCTCTGTCAGTCAAGAGGTGGCGCCCCCTTGTGTTGAGGTCACATGACTGGATTTTGATTGGCTTAGAGGACTCACTGCAGACGTGCCCTGAAGTCCCGCCCCTGGCCTTTCTGCAACCAATGAGAGGACAGAGTCAGGATGCTGTCATTCTGTTGCTGTTCCAACTCTCAGCCACTAGGGGAGGCTGTTTGCGCTAACGGAGACACTCATATCAAGCGTCTGTGGAGAGAGGTTCTGGCTCCTGGATCGGCCCGGTCCAGTTTGGTTCGCTTCAGTTCGGTCCAATCTGGTCTTCTGGGTTCTGGTTCTAATCAGAACCAGGTTCTGGTGTTTAATGCGTCCTCTCCTTTTGCCATCGGGACTCAGAGGAAAGAAACCTAACCTGTTGAACCCGACCCCATCAGAACCGTCACTACTGCTGAGAGGTCAGCTGCCCATCCCGTCTGAACCGCCAGAACCTCCAGGAGCATGAAGATGAGAACCAGAACCAGAACCAGAACCAGCAGACTCTGACCTGGTTTCCGTGGAGTCGCTGTCGGATCGTCTGCTGGAAACTTTCCTCACTTGGAGACGAAGAACGCTGCAGCAGCCGGAGCTTCTGACGGGCCTGCCGGGTCGGCGGGTCCAGCAGCTTCTGCTTTCCGCTCAGGTTGGCGCTGCAGTTTGAAGTGGAGGAGGAAGACGAGGAGGAGGAGGGAGAGGATGATGAAGAGGAGGATGCTCCTCCTCCTCTTCCTCCTGGTCCTATTTCTGTTCCTTTGCTTTATTTTTAGATCCTTCTCTTCCTGAGCTGCTCATGATTTCCTCTGGGTCCAGGTTCTGCCTCTGAACCGGGTCGGCTCTGACCCAAACCCAGTTCCACACACAGAACCCTGGAGAAGCCGTCCCGGTTCACTCATCCCAACGTTTCTGATCCATCATTGGTTGAAGGATCAGAACCATTTTAACCAAACTGAACCGCGACAGAGCGCCAATCAGAACCACCGGTCCAAAACTGAACAGCAGGAAGTCCTGGAGTCACAACAGACATTTTATAAAGTTAGAACTGAACCAGAACCAGTCAGACCAATCGCCCGTCTTGCACGAGCTGCTATTATCTCCTGTTGCTAGGAAACAAACTGGTTTCCAGTCATCTTGATGGCGGCTGCTCCACATTCTGAGCTCTGGCTCTGCAGCGCCACCTTGTGTCAGGCTGAAGCGGTGAATGGCTGAATGCAGCTTTTATTTCATTCATGCTTTCATTGGTTCAGCCATGATGTTCCCCTGGTTCTGACGAACTGGGTCAGAACCACACAGTCACAGCGGTTAAGCTCAGCCCACAGATTATAATAGATAAGAGAGATGGCGCCATCTGGTGGAGAACCATGGCAATATAACCATTTATTATTGAGCCTTTATTTTAATCGTGAAAAAGTCACTTATAAAAACGTTTATAAGTGACTCATATATTAGAAGTTTGTAAAATAAATCAACACAAACGGGAAATTAAAGCAGCAATTTGTAGAACAGATCGTCGCCCTGTAAAAGTTCACGAGCAGCCGTGTGAAGAAACTGAGACGGGCTGGACTTTCCTCACGGCTGCTCCTGAACTTTTACAGGGCGACGATCGAGAGCGTCCTCTGCCTCAACGTGACTGTGTGGTATGGTAGCTGCACAGCACTGGAGAGGAAACAACTGACACGGGTGGTGAGAACAGCACAAGGCATTGTGGGATGCCCCCTCCCAGACCTGGACTCTATTTACATAGGCCGGGTCAAGAAGAGAGCTGGATCCATAGCCATGGATTCCAGCCACCCGGGCCACAGACTGTTTGTGCCGCTGCCATCAGGCAAGCGGTTCAGGAATATACGACGACAACAAACAGACTGAGAAACAGTTTCTTCCCACAGCCGTCAGAGCCATTACTCCCTGCGCCCCCTCCCACACATATCATAACCTCACATACACCCCCCCCCCACACAGCCATGTTCTGCACTTGCACTGTCACATCATCTGCACTTTACCATAATTGGACCTGCTGCTTCTTCTTTGGTGTGGTTGAGTGCCTTAGTTCATTTTAGTTGTATATTATTATTATTATTGTGTGTTTGTTTATTTAATATTGTATATATTTGACTTTTTGCACGGGAGTTGCAATAGAAATTTTGTTGAATCCTGTTCAATGACAATAAATGCTATTCTATTCTTCTATTCTATTCTATAAATCAATTGCTCTGAGATCTGTCAGATGCATTGATCTGATCTGAGTTCAATTTAAAAAAGTATGGAAGCCCATTCAAGCTTTGCTTTTGAGATATTGGAGTAAGCATCCTGGCTGATTTTTATCTAATAAAAGTGACTTTAAAACAAAAATTCTGACTTCCTGTTGGGCTTTAATTGTTTCTCTTGCATGGCGGAAACGGCTGCCGTGGAGTTCTGTGTGAAATCTACCCACTCTAGCTCTATCTGTCTGTAGGTGTTTTCCTGGATGTATCCGCTGACTGTATCTTCAGGTGTGTTGGTCACAGTTTATTCTTCAAGGTGGAAAACTGGAAACAAAACAAACGTTTCGGATCCAGTTTCTAAACAGAATGTGGAGAAGATTAAAGAGGACAAAGTGCTTTATTAGGAGAAATATTGTTGAGAATTTTGAAATTAACTCATTTGTTTTGATCATTAAAACTGATAAATATTTGACAAAGCTTTCTAATCATCAATAATGTAGGACACATATGTCAAAGTCAAGGTGCGCAGGCCGGATCCGGCCCGCAAATTAATCATCTGTGGCCCCAGGATGATATTTAATTACTATTAGAACCGGCCCGCGGGCCACAGGCCACAGCGACTCGCTGGCGTTTTGCACGTGTAACCGGGTTCTGCTTCACGCCGCTGTACCAGGCCGACCCAAGTAACCCCTGGACTCTGCGTTGTGTAGATGTTTTAATGAAGACCAGGAGTTCTGGGTGAACAGGCAGTTTATTTCCTGAATGAGAACAGATCGGGTTGGAATCAATGCAACGGCTCAGCTTCCCTCAGCACTACAACAGAGCATCACGTTGACTTTAACTTAGCACAGAAAGTGTTTTACAAAATATTAACAAAACTAAAAGTGCAAAATTGATGCCAGGCACACAAATCATAAATAGTAGTTGCACACTATTGATGTAAGTTATGAAGAATGATATTTTATGTGTTTCTAACACTTTTCCGTGCTGAGGAATGAAACTCACCTCTATTGCAGCTTCCATAGACTGGCACTGATTACAGCAGCATATAACCAGCCACACAGAGGAGGCGCTATTTCCCCTTGCACTGATAATATATAAAGCAAGTGGGATTCTACAACATAAACTCTGTTACACACGCACCAACACTACATTTCCCACAATGCAACGGTAGCCCGCGACGTCACTGCAGCACAAGCGGCTTCATAGTTCATCAGCATTCAGAGCAGAGATCAACTTTCAGGTTCCCTCCTCAAAAATGGCTGAACGCGTAGAGACGCTGAGAACAGGGTTCATGTTCACGGAGGTAAAAGGCCAACCTGTGTGCAGTGACGTCAGTAACGCGTCACTGACGTTTTTATATCAAATCAGGTAGTCAGACTGCAGTTACTTATTGAAATCACTTTGCGTTACTATTTTGTCATTTTTCCGCGGCTTGGGGAGAGTATGCGACAGAAACAATGAGGGAGACGCATTTTGTCACTGGAAAAACAGGAACTATGTTGAGTTTCGCTCACCAAGTCAGATTATTATAAGCGGCTTGGAGCTTGGTTTTTAAAGTCGCTTGTAGATTTAATGAGTCGCTTTTTATGGGCTTAATAAGCGACATAAACCCAGAATTTGTCTGACATCCAGTCAGTTTTAGTCAGACTCATAATCCGTCCCGCTTGTCTTTGTTCATGTCAAGTTAATATTTTACCTCTGAATGACGTCAAGCTTCGCGTTGCGCTCCAGAAAACTGCAAACAGCGCAATAAACATCAAAACAAGTCCGTAAAGTTGTGTAAATTATAATTATTAATATAAGTGTCACTAATCTGTGCAGCCATCTGAGTTGCAGAGCAGCAGGGGGCCCTCTGTGCGCTGTGACAACAAACGCAGGGCCGTAACGCAGGGCTGGGGCTTTGGGGGTCTAAAACCCTATTGATAGTTTTCCAGACAATAGAAACACAAGAACATGCGCAAATTACTAAACGTTTTTTTGAACTATTGTAACCATTAAACAATCTCTCCTTCAGTTCAACCATATAAGTGGAGACACATTGTTGATGTAATCATTATAAAATAACTTGCAATTAATTATTGGGAAAGATCAATGTGATGTTCACAGGCAGCTGTTAGCATTTGCTGACAGTAACTAAAATAGTTACTTTTAACGTAAATTAATTACTTTCCACATCAAGTAATCAGTAATGTAACTGTTACTTTTTTCAAGAAGTAATCAGTAATCTGATAAAAGTAACTTGCCATCACTGCCTGTGTTTCTGTGTGGAGAAAGTTTGGCTGTAATGAAAGAATATAATCTATCAAACTTCTCAGAAACACACAAAGACAAGAATATGAACGTCGTAGAGCAGCACAATAATGCAGTTTCAGTTTATACTGCATGCTCTTTAATTTATGTATTTATCTTGACATTAAGAAACATATTGAGTTTTTCAAAACTATACATTTTTTTTCTGTTTGCTTGTTGAAAATGTTTTTCCTTGAGGTTATCGACAGTCATAATAAAATATTGCTCATCAGAGAGAGACCTGCAGTGAAGAAGGTGAGAGTATGGCCTGAGGGCGCCATGTCTGCACTGCAGGACTGTTTTGAGTGCACTGAATGGGGCATCTTCAAGGAAGCAGCAACAGAAACCAGCGCACCAACGGAGGAGTACGCTGCATCTGTATCCGACTATATCAGTTGGTGCATGGAAAAGAGACAGCAACAAAAACAATAGTCACGGGCAAACCAGAAACCTTGGATGACCAAGGAGGTGGGAACGAAGCTGAGAGAACGCAATGCTGCTTTCAGATCTGGTGATGCTGCGGCTCTCAGGTCTGCGAGGGTCAACCTGAACCGGACCATCAGAGACGCTAAGCGAGCCCACAGCCGGAAAATCCAGGGTCTCTTCCAGGACTCCAACAACACCAGGAAACTGTGGCAGGGCATCCAGTCTATCACAGACTACAAAAACCCATCCTGCCAGACCGACACTGGCTTCCTCAACGAGCTCAAACAACTTCTTCGGAAGATTTGAGGAGCTGAACAACCCTGCGAGGAAAGCGACGCCACTCCCCGATGAACAGGCGCTCAGACTAGAAACATCAGCAGTGCAGAAGGTTCTGAGGAAGGTCAACGCGCGGAAAGCTGCAGGTCCGGACAACATTCCAGGTCTGCTAATCAAGGAATGCTCGGACCAGCTGGCCCACGTGCTCCGACATCTTCAACATGTCCCTGGACCAGGCTGTCGTCCCACGGTGCTTCAAGTCTGCCACTGTCGTTCCGGTCCCGAAGTCAACCACCATCACAGCCTTAACGACTTCCGCCCCGTCGCACTGACATCCACCATCATGAAGTGCTTCGAAAGACTTGTTAAGGACCACATCATCTCCACGCTCCCCCCATCACACGACCCTTTCCAGTTTGCATACCAGTCCAAGCGCAGTGCTGAGGATGCAGTCTCCACTGCTCTCCACCTGAGCCTGGAGCATCTGGAGGAGAAGAACACCCACGTGCGGATGCTGTTCCTGGACTTCAGCTCAGCGTTCAACACCATCATCCCCCAAGACCTGGTGGGCAAACTGGGCCCCTTAGGAATTAAACCCCCCCTCTGCAACTGGCTGCTGGACTTCCTCACTGACAGAACCCAGGCTGTCAGAATGAAGAACAACACCTCCGATGTCATCACCCTGAACACCGGCACCCTCAGGGCTGTGTCCTGAGCCCCCTGCTGTTCACCCTGATGACCACGACTGCCGTCCACACTTCAGATCCAACCACATCCTGAAGTACGCGGACGACACCACAGTGGTGGGCCTCATCCGGGACAACAACGAGACGGCCTATAGGGAGGAGGTGCGGCATCTGGTGGACCGGCAGAGGAAACAACCTGATCCTGAATGTCAACAAGACCAAGGAGATCATCGTAGACTTCAGGAAATCCAGACCCACCCACACACCACTCCTCATCAACGACTCAGCTGTGGAGGTCGTCAGCAGCACCAAGTTCCTGGGGGTGCACATCAACGACAACCTCAGCTGGTCCCCACATCTCCTCACTGGTGAAGAAGGGCCAGCAGCGCATGCACTTCCTGCGTGGATGAGAGAGCATCCCTCCCGCCCCCCATCCTTCAGACCTTCTACAGAGGGACCATCGAGAGCCAACTGACCAGTGTTGAAATAATATTTTAAATTAGCACAATACTGCACAGGATAGTTTTGATACATATGAAATATACCATAGAAAGCTAAAGTACACTCTATGTTCATATAAATTTAGATAAAGATCCAAACTAAAACAACTGCTGAATCTCTGAACTTATATAAATTCTTAGGGAGGATTCTACAGAAAACAGCCTAGAATCTCTTTAGACAGGGAGTCTGTCTGCCAGGCAGTGAACAAATTCCTGAGCGTGGTTCAAAAGTTCAATAGGATCTTAAAACTTTTTATAAATAATTTTATCTATATTAGAATTAACTATATTTCTTTAAGCATGTTTTGAATTAGTTACTTCTTAGATCCAAACTTATAGTCATTATTTAGCATTACATTTTGTGCAAGCTTGGTTAAAAATACAAACTACTTTCTTGTGGAATCATTTGAGGCAGAAAACTAAAACAGACAGGTCGTAAATTTAGCTCAGGGAGAGTTGCAGGAGACGCCTGGTACGGCAGAGAGACCCAGTTGGACGATCCATATATCTGCCTTTGGGTTCTTTAGCAGGAGGTAATAAAATCAATGGGAAGGCCCACAAAGGAAAACGCACCTCCTAATGCATATATTTAAATGAAGAGAATACACATTATTATAAAATGGTTTGTTTTAGAGCTGAAGTCCGAATCTCTTTGTGCTGAGTGAGAGTTTCCCAGAAGATGCATCTTTTGTTTGTTTCTGTTTCCCTTTTTACTCAGTTAATTGTTCTGTTTTGTCATGTCTTGGACTTTTGATGATCTAGGTGAGATGATTATTGCAACATTCTTCTTGGATTGATTTTCTCTGGATAAAACTCTGGATATCTGAAGTCTGACGTCGTATGATTGCTCTTTTCTCTCTGCACATTTATACAGACACAGGAATTCGGGACAAAGAAGAATTACTTAAGAGCTAAATCAAGTTATTCCTCTTTTTAATTCTTAATACTAGCTAAAATACTAAATTAAAAATACATTAACATTAATTAATATAACTAGTCAGGTTATAATTCAAAGCTTTCATTTGACATAGCCTACTTACATTTCAGTCATTATAAAACTTAATGGTTTTTCTCATATTCTTACCACACATTTCAAGCAAGAGCTGGGAGATATATAAAACATTAGAGGGCAGCATGTCACTAAAACATATGTTAAAACACGATCTACCAGTGTTTTATAATAAACGAGGCACTACGCAGCGGTACACAACCATTTTTTTTCTTTTAGAAATGTATGACAAGAGCCGCCTCTCATTAGGAAGGTAACAGCGGTTACTGCTGAGCGGTAAAATGTTGTAAATACCTGCAGAACTCCTGGACAAAGCCGCGGATGTGTTTTGGATCAAGCAGGACCCACATGTCAGTTTAACCAATGAACAGCGTCGGGCATCGGTCTGCCTTCAGGGACAGTCGGAAATTACAGTTTTCCTGGCAAATCTTTGCCGATCTCATAAGTATTATATTTTAAAATGACCATTTCCAGTGGGGTGGCACTAGGGGTGGCCAGGGCTCTGTTGGGGGTGGCAAGCGCCACCCCGGCCACCCCTCTGGCTCCGCCACTGTCGGTTCAACAGGCTTTGTGTAATCATTTCAATATGTTTTAGTTAACGTAGACCCAAGCTGGCCCTCGGCTGTAATAAATTTGGTTGTATTTGACTTTGACATCCCTGATGTAGGAGATGCTCCTCAACTAAACATGCTGTCTCATAACACGAGAACTCCCTCTGTATTTACATCCCGCGGCTGGGCAGCAGGGGGCGGTGTCGTGACTACAACTGGAACACATGGGAACGTCATTACGTCTCAACCAATGAGCATAGCTACCATGGCCGTGGTCCCGCCCAGAAGCCATCCCGCCTTGATGACTGACAGACAGCTGAGTGGCGCTCTGGTTCGGTTCGAATCTCCGGGACCAGGTAAACTTTTCTCTGCTATGTTTGGACCGGGGGAGGCGCGGCGCGCGCGGCGCTACGGCTGGTTCTGGCTGTGGTCAGAACTGGTACCGGTATGTTATTAAAGCTAACACCGGAGCTAACAGCTAGCTGCTTCCTGCTGGTTGGAGTGAGGCTGGTTAAACTGTTTACACTGGGGTTTAGGGTGATAACTAGCGGGTCGGAACCACAGGGACTCGGATGGACCAGTACCGTCAGAGTTTGTCACTCAAAGTACCTGCGGAGTTTACTGACTGCTAACTATCAGCTAATAGGCGACTAGCAGGTTTAAGTTTCCGCGCGCCAACTCGCGTGCACGTGATGCAAATAAAGAAGATCCGTCACAGTGTGCGCGCGCCTGATCCCAGTGCGCGCGCCTGATCCCAGTGCACGTCTAGCCGAGTTATTTCTAGAAATGAGTCTGCAGATGTTCGGCCACGGTTCGGAGTCAGAACCCAGAAGTCTGGAACAGAACCACTTGTTCGGCCCGGTCCGCTTCAGGTCAGAACGGTTCTGGTTTCACTTGGCGGAGATAGAAATCAGCTTGTCTGTTACTTGTCTCCGTTTCCATGGTAGCTGTTGTTGGGAATACTTTGATAAGGCTATTGATAACAGTTTAATACAAATACATAATTACATTTTAACTTCCTCAGAAACTATTCATTCACCATAAGAACTCCTTAAAATTGCATTTGTTCAGTTTTCCCTTTTCTGATTGGATGTTTATGAATATTGACTCTTTAATATCAACCAGAGGCCTCATGTGTAAAACTGCGCTGCACAAAAACTGCGCTGCTCAAAAACTGCGCAGCGCCATATTTTACGCACAAGTCAGGATGTATAAGAATGAAAGTTTGACCGGCCGTGAAAAATGTGCAGCTGCCACCAAACTTATTCTGAGGACAATAATAAAGTACAGAGTCAAAACTGGCCTGAATCTAAATACTGAAATATGATTCAGTATTTAGACCAGGAAGCATCAAACCCGATGATTTTATGATTTTAATATTTGAGTGGTTTAAAACGATGAAACTGAACCAATTTATCCCCAGACAATAAGCCAACACAAAATAAATAAAATAAAATAAAGGATGTGAAAATCTCACATGTAAGTAATAAATTTGATCAGTTTGTCTCATAAAGACAAAAACGATTCGTCTGAATGAATCTATGGCTCATTTTTCTCACTGAAGAGAAACCAGGGCTGATCAATAGGTCTGATTACTGAAGGTGATCAATAGGTCTGATTATTGAAGCTGATCAATAGGTTGATTACTGAAGGTGATCAATAGATCTGATTATGAAGCTGATCAATAGGTCTGATTACTGAAGTGATCAATAGGTCTGATTATTGAAGGTGATCAATAGGTCTGATTATTGAAGGTGATCAATAGGTTGATTATTGAAGCTGATCAATAGGTCTGATTATTGAAACTGATCAATAGGTTTGATTACTGAAGGTGATCAATAGGTCTGATTATTGAAGGTGATCAATAGGTCTGATTATGAAGGTGATCAATAGGTCTGATTATTGAAGCTGATCAATAGGTCTGTTTACTGAAGGTGATCAATAGGTCTGATTACTGAAGGTGATCAATAGGTCTGATTGAAGGTGATCAATAGGTCTGATTATTGAAGGTGATCAATAGGTCTGATTACTGAAGGTGATCAATAGGTCTGATTACTGAAGGTGATCAATAGGTCTGATTACTGAAGGTGATCAATAGGTCTGATTATTGAAGGTGATCAATAGGTCTGATTACTGAAGGTGATCAATAGGTCTGATTATTGAAGGTGATCAATAGGTCTGATTACTGAAGGTGATCAATAGGTCTGATATGAAGGTGATCAATAGGTCTGATTACTGAAGGTGATCAAATAGGTCTGATTACTGAAGGTGATCAATAGGTCTGATTATTGAAGGTGATCAATAGGTCTGATTATTGAAGGTGATCAATAGGTCTGATTACTGAAGGTGATCAATAGGTTGATTATTGAAGGTGATCAATAGGTCTGATTACTGAAGGTGATCAATAGGTCTGATTATTGAAGGTGATCAATAGGTCTGATTACTGAAGGTGATCAGTGTGGAGACATTCTCATGGAGCCATTGATCAGTTTTCTGCATTCTTTACACAAACTGCAGCTCACAAAACCTTCATTAACAAACTTACCTTTAGTGACAAATGAATAAGTAAATATCAGCTCATCCAAAGCCAACCTGGTGAAAAATAGACATAGCAAGTATGTTAATGTTAATGTTAGCTCACTTGAAGCCAGACTAATCATCAGCATGTTACTTTGGAACAACTAGTTTTCATACATAGTGTATTTTAATAGTAATTAAATAGTAGAAAATCACAATTTAAAGTCTACTATAATGTGGCTTTTTGGAAAAACTAAGGTGATACTTTAATATGGCATTTTATATAACATAAAGATGCTCCTAGTTTATATGAAGTGTATTATTTTGTGATTTGATTAAATTTTAAATATATTTAGCTGTATTTTCAGTATATTACGTATTTCATATATTAGTGGTGTGATCACAGTTCGCTACGATTACATTTTGTATTATAATGCTAATGAAGTAACTTTTTGAATGTAGGGCTGTTAAAATGAATAGTTTTAGTAATCGAGTAATGTATCAATTATTCCTAGTTAATCAAATAATCTGATGAAAAGCTCTAAAATATAATATTGGTAAATCTGGCATAACAGCAGTGTTAGTATCAGATATCAATATCAGCCCAATTTTTCATATTTGAGCTTCTATACTATTTACTTTTCTGTAGTTTAGAAAATTAACTGTAACAAACATCTCAGATTCTAAGTCAACCTGAGAAAAGTTATATGAGAATCTGAAATTATATTAATTTAATAACAAGATTCAGGATCACAATACGCTTATAAAAATGTCTCTGCTCCAGCTTTTAGTTTATGTTTTCATCTCCAGTCTGTTTAATAGATGAACTCTGACCTTGGCCCTAACCTGTCAAGCTTTGGGTTTGAGAAAACGGGAATGTGGCCTGGTGATGGGGTCACGGGGTCATGGGGGGCAATAAGCTACCCATTAGCCATGGAGTTACATGGCTAGCTACGGCTAGCTCCCCGGCTAGCTTTACGACTAGCTCCCCGGCTAGCTCCATGGCTAACTCTACGGCTAGCTCCATGGGTAGCTGTTGCTGTCTCTTCCTCTGCAGTGTGGAGTCTCAGTGTCTGGGATCATTAGCGCCCCCTGCCATGAGGCCAGAGAACTGCCTGGCTCACCTCCAGTCTGTTCCTGATTTCTGATTGCTGCTCAGCACGAAACTTGTTACACACACAGTTGGTGGCAACAAACACTGTACATTATATACATGAGCTAAATGATGGAAAATCAGTTCATACATTAAATGCTTATTAACCATTTCATTGGCGCCGTTCAGACAGGAGGAGCTGCTGCTCTAGACTGGCAGTTAGAGAGACGTTGATCAGTCCAGGTGAGGCTCGGCTTCCTGCTGCGTCACCTGCTGCGTCACCTGCTGCTCTTCTGAGCATTTGAATGGGAAAATCTATTGCTCACCTTCAGCTTTTATGATTTCTTCAGGGTGAAAGAAGGCTTTTATTTAAACATGGTGGAATGAATCTCTGGCGCCCCCTGTGGTGCAGGATGTCCTTAGACATGAAAATGTCTTCAATCTGAAGGCAGCATACATTTCTCAGGTGTTAAATTAAAATGTGTGGATTAAAGATCAGAAAGATGTGCAATATTTCTGTTGCTGTGAGATTGGAGAACTTAGTCTGCCTCTGCTGATTGGCCGTCCAGACATCAGACATGAGCGAAAGCAATGGACGGCTCTGCTGTCTCCGAGGAGGACGATCTGCAGAGAGACAAGGTGGCTCCCCCAAGAAGCTCCTCAAAGATCTCAGGTATCTGGATTCTCTGTTGGCTTGTCGGGTCTCTGTGGCCAGAATCAGAACTCCAAGGGTTCTAGAAGTTCTAATTCTGCTGCAGATGGTGGAGAAATCGTTGAAGGGAAGCGGACCAAAAAGTCTGTGGACCGGCTGGATTTCCAGGCTCCAAAGACCAGGGAGAAGCTGAAAGTGGCAGACGGTAAGACCCAAACGGAACCGGTCCTGAACCGATTCTGTTCGGGTCTGACAGGTGGCCGGTTCTGATGTGTTCAGGCGGTGGAGACAAGCTGGGCGACATTCCTCGGACCAACTACGAGATCACCAGGAGGAAGGCGGAGGAGCTGAAGCTGCTGCACGCCATCTTGTTCGACCGACCCGGGAAGGTAAAGAGCCAGGAAGAGGGACTCGGACCCGGTGAAACCTGATCCAGACGAGTTGAGCAAAAACCAGAACTCCTCTGCTGATTCTACTGGGTCTGAGGAAAACTCTTTGACCTGGTTCTTCTCAGCTGCTCTAGGTTGATAAAGCAATAACGATCACTTCCAGCATCCCTGTTAGCCTCCCTGTTAGCGTTCCTGTTAGCCTCCCTGCTAGCCTACCTGTTAGCATCCCTGTTAGCCTCCCTGCTAGCCTACCTGTTAGCGTTCCTGTTAGCCTCCCTGCTAGCCTACCTGTTAGCATCCCTGTTAGCCTCCCTGCTAGCCTACCTGTTAGCGTTCCTGTTAGCCTCCCTGCTAGCCTCCCTGTTAGCATCCCTGTTAGCCTCCCTAGCCTACCTGTTAGCGTTCCTGCTAGCCTCCTGCTAGCCTCCCTGTTAGCCTCCCTGCTAGCCTCCCTGCTAGCCTCCCTCCTAGCTAACAGGAGGCTGAGCAACAGAAACGGCTGATTGTTCTGGATCTGGCTCTGCTGAACAGAAACTTCTCCAGCTGGACCGGGTCCATATGTGAGTTTTCAAACTGCTCCGTTCTACCAGAACCTGGTCAGTAATGTCCTGTGTCTCTCAGTCGGGCCTCGGTCAAGAAGAACCTGCGGCTGTTCAACGGTTTCCCCGTTCGCCCGCAGACAGCCAGGAGTTCACTAGGAAGAGAGACAAGATGCTCAGGTGGGTTCCTCAGCTGGTTCTGGATCGCTGGAGCGGTTCTGATGGACGTTCTGATGGACCCGTCTCCCCCAGGAACTCGAACCTGACCAACACCAAGTTGAAGCTGGTTTGCTCCATTCTGGACCTGGAGAAGAAAGGAACCCACCAGGATCTGATCGATCGGATCCTCATCTTTCTGATCGCCCCAAAGAACAGCGGAAAGGTGATCAGAAGCCCCGCCCCCTCTCTACTGAGGCTCCGCCCCCTGCTGACGGCCGCTGTCATTCCTCCGCAGCGTGCACCAGTGAAGAAGAAGCGAAGGACCAAGAAGAAGTTGGCCGGTGGCGACTCGGTGGTCAAGAAGAAGAGCAAACCCAGAGCTACCGGCACCAAGAAGTCCAAACCCGGCAGCAAATCCAAAGCCATCGTCATGGACTCCAGCACCGACGACGAGGAGAAAGTGGAGGCTTTTGCGGAGGCCGGCGGTTCTGACGGAGAGGAGAAACTGTCAGAACAGGAGGAAGAGCAGACTGACCACTCGGAGTCTGATGAGGTGAGATCAGCTTGGTTCTGACCCAAACTTGCTGCAGAACCCTGAACTGGTTCTGGTTGTTTCAGACCTCCAAGCCCAAGTCCAGCAGAGGGAAGAAGAAGAAGCAGCAGATACCATCGAAGAAGAGACCCACGAGCCAGAGCTCTGATGGAACCAGCGAGGCAGAGGAGAAGGTACCAGCCCACAGTCTGAACCTGAACCAGAATCAGAACCGGGTTCTAGCGACGCGTTCTGCTGTCAGTTTCAGCCAAAGAAGAAAGAAAGTAGCCGCTGCCAAAACCAAGAAGGCCGACAGCAGCAGCAGCAGCAAGAACACCAACGCAGGTGAGCAGCGGGACAAGAACCTAATCCGGGTCTGACCGGGGCCTGGTTCTGAACCCTGCGTATGTTGACCTCTGACCCCCGCGTCCAGCCGAGGACAGCTCGACGAAGACGAGCCGCTCATCAGGATGGTGAAGAAGGCGCCGACAGACGAGCAGCTGAGGAAGACGGTGGAGAGTCTGCTGAAGGAGGCCGACCTGGAGGAGATGACCATGAAGCAGATCTGCCTGAAGGTCAGCGCGCCGGACCCCGCATGACCTCTGACCCTGCCGGGCCCCACCCAGCATGACCTCTGCTCTCTGCTGCAGGTGTTCGACACGTATCCAGAACACGACCTGAGCGGCAGGAAGGACTTCATCAAGCAGACGGTCAAGACTGTAAGTCTGACCTTCTCTCTACAGCGGGTCCAGCCTGGTTCTGGTTCTCCCTGGTTCCAGAACAATAGATCCATAATATGTGTGGACATGTGATCAATGTTGATAGATAATGTCTGATAGAATGTTTAATAATTTCACTGAACCACACGGCATTCTGGGCGGTTCAGAATGCCGTGGGGGGACACACGTGGGGGGGGACACGCCGGGGGGGGACACGCCGAGGGAGACACGCCGAGGGGGAGACACGCCGTGGGGGGACACGCCGTGGGGGGGACACGCCAGGGGACACGCCGTGGGGGGGACACGCCGTGGGGGGACACGCCGGGGGGACACGCCATGGGAGACACGCCTTGGGGGGGACACGCCGTGGGGGAGCCGTGGGGGACACGCAGTGGGAGACACGCGTGGGGGACACGCAGAGGGGGACACGCCGAGGGGGGACCGCCGTGGGGGGGACACGCGTGGGGGACACGCCGAGTGGGGGACACGCCGTGGGGAGACACGCCGTGGGGACACGCCGAGGGGGGACCCGCCGTGGGGGACACGCCGAGGGGGACACGCCGTTGGGGGACACGCCGTGGGGGACACGCCGTGGGGGAGACACGCCGTGGGGGACACGCCGAGGGGGGACACGTCCAGGGGAGACACGCCGTGGGGGAGACACGCCGTGGGGGACACGCCGTGGGGGGGACACGCCGTGGGGGACACGCCGTGGGGGAGACACGCCGTGGGGACACGCCGTGGGGGGGACACGCCGAGGGGGGACACGCCGTGGGGGAGACACGCCCAGTGGGAGACACGCCGTGGGGGGGACACGCCGTGGGGGAGACACGCAGAGGGGGGGACGCCTGGTTTAGCTGCTAAACTTCTCGTGAGCTAGCTGGATAGCATCAAGTCGCTCACTCTTTGGTTGCCTAGCACAATGTGTGTAGCATAACTTGCGCAGCAGCAGTTTCAGGTTTCTGCATCGTCATCCAACTGACACAAAACCATTAAATCACGATACGTTTTCATCCGTGTTGCCTGGCCCTCATCAGAACCGGACCGGGTCCAGAACCGGACCGGGTCCAGTTTGAGTCCTCCAGCAGGGGGCGCCGTGTCCTGACAGGAAGTGTCATGCTGTCCTCTTTGTCTCCTCACAGCTCATCACTTGAAGACGCCCAGGTGTCCATGGCAACAGGCTCCTCCCTTGTTTTTATGTTTTTTATGGGATGCGGTCGATCAGCGGCGCCCCCTGCAGGACGGCTGCTCGGCTTCAACACCTTCAATAAATTTGTACATTTTTCAACAAAGCTGGTTTGGACTCTGATTCAACATGCAGGACCGGTTCTGGTTCCGAGACAGAACCACCGCTGATCTAAATCCTCCATCAATCAGAAGCAGCTCCTCCTCGCTGACCCGGTTCTACTGGTTCTGTTGGGAAGAGAGGTCGCGTTAAAGGGATGTTCTCCGTATCTGACCAGTTATTTTGTAAACGGCAGGGAAACTTGAAGCCCGTCGGTCATTGGACAGATTCTAATAACGTCTCTGATTGGTGGCCAGACATGAAGCAAACAGTTCATTGCAGAGGAACTAAAGTCAATCAGTGAAACTTCCTTTCTGAATATCATGAACTCTGAACTCAATGCGCGTTTCTGAGCGGAGCTGACGGCGGGTTGAAGGGTTACGGACCGGACGCCTCGGAGCGTCTGCTGAGGAAGAGCTTTAAAAACCTTTGGTAGAAATGAGGCCTTTAATTCCAGAGCAGAGAAACTAAAGAGATGCAACGTTGAGCTGATGCAGTAATATTCCAACAGGAGCCGGCAGTTTATCTTGAGGAAATAAATGATGGTGCAGAAGTTCATTAGACGGTACCAATTAGACCAGGGGTGGGCAATTAATTTTTACCGGGGGCCGAATGAGCAAACCGAGCACAGCTGGAGGGCCACATTGAAAAATATTTCACACTTTAACTTTGTTCCACAAACAAGAAAAAACAACCAAACAACTTATCAAGTTAATAGAAATACTGCAATACAACAAACAGTAACTTATGTTTTCCACCTCATTTTACCTCTTCAGTGAGAATAATCCAGTCTGTTCTGGGCCTGAACAAGAGCATTGAAATCTGGTTGAATGTCTGAGGTGGCTATGCGAAGGACAGCTGAGAGAGGCTCATCAGTGATAGAGGATCTGTGTTTGGATTTATTGAACTTCATCACTGAAAATGTCTGTTCACATACATAGGTAGATCCAAAGAGGACCAGCATCCTCTGAGCATGCCTCCTCAGGTGTGGAAAGTTCTCCTCTTTGAGGGAGGAGTAAAAGTCCAGCAGTGAGACTGACCTGAAGTGCTCTGCCAGAAGTAGGTCAGACTGCAGGTCAATGAGCTCCATCTGAACATCGCTTGGTGCATTATCCACACTGCAGTTGAAGGGAGAAGAAACCATGTGCATTTCACTCTCAATAGTTTTGAAATCTTGAAATCGTCTCTAAAACTGTCCATGCAGTGCCTCTAACTTGCTTGAGTACTTGTGGAGGTGATCGGCTGATCTTGTGGCTTCCTTTAGTGTTGGCAAGTGGATCAGAATGTTGTCCTTCACTTGGCTTGAAAGAAGCTGCAACTTTCTCATGAAAGCCGTCACTGCACTGTACATCCCGTGCACAAAAAGGCCCTTGCACTGCAGTTTGACATTCAGTTGGTTCATGAGTGCTGTCACATCCACAGCGAAATCAAGGTCTGCCACCCAGTCTTCATCTGAAAGTTCTGGGATGGCATGTCCTTTCTTCCCACAGAAATCCTGAATCTGGTCTCTCAGGTCCCAGACACTTTTCAGTACTTTGCCCAGGCTGAGCCATCTGACGTTGCTGTGGTAGCTTATGTCACCATGTTCACTCTCATTTTCCTGTAAAAGTGCAACAAATTGTCGATGATTTAATGCTCTCGCTCTGATGAAGTTAACTGTTTTAGTTACAGCATCAACACCATGGTTAATTTTTAACACTGTCTTACACAACACTTCCTGATGTATAATACAATGCAAAAATGTCAATTTCTGCACTGGGTTAATTTCTGTCACTTTATCCTGCATCTTCTTTAAAAGTCCAACATTTTTCCCCGTCAGATTTGGACAACCATCTGTTGTCACACCTGCCAGTTTGTCCATTTCAGTCCTAACATGTCCAAACATGTATTTACCTCTGTGAACAAGTCACTACCTGTGGTTGTCCCTTTAATTGACTGCATGGCTGCCAGCTCCTCCGTGACTTGAAAGTCTGCAGTTATCCCACGTAAGAAGATGAGCAGCTGGGCGGTGTCACGTACATCGCAGCTCTCATCCAAAGCCAGAGAAAAACAGTCAAAGTCGGCCGCTCTGTTCTTCAGCTGAAGCTCCAGGTTTCCAGCGATGAGCGACACGTTCTCAAATGCACCTTTCTTCTCCGGGCATATCAACGCGACAGAGTCCAATAAGCACTCTTTAATAAATTCTCCGTCAGAAAACGCCTTACTTTTTCTGGTGATTTTGTGAGAAATTACAAAACTTGTCCTGACAGCTGCATCTCTGGGTGTATGGAGTTTGGTAAAAAGTCCTTGTTGGGTTTGCAGTTTTACCGTCAACGCATCAGCCTTCCTCGTGCACTCTTCATCAGACAGATTCCGGTATGTAGGCTCGTGCTTCGTCGTGTAGTGGCGATTCAAATTATAATCTTTAAACACAGCAATCTGTGTACCACAAATTAAGCACACAGCTTTACCTTTAATTTCTGCAAAGAAATAGTTGGCAGTCCATGTCTTGTTGAAAACACGGCATTCCTCATCAACTTTTCTTTTTTTAGCATGAGCGGACATCTTGGGGCTAACCGAGCGTCACTTGTCACAAGTTACGCACAGACATACGTCCATAAATAACAGTTTTCAAAATAAAAGCAGAACAGTTGTAATGCATGCACAACATAGATGTTTATTAAAATTTATTTTGTAATTTGTGATTGCTGCTGTTGACCTTAACTCACAATCATGCATGCGCATACGTCCACGGAAGTAATGCAAATAACGCTTTTCAAAACAAAAGCGGAACCGTTGTATTGCACACTCGACATAGATACTTTTTAAAATTTATTTTGTAATTTATGATTGGCCTCACGCGGGCCGGATAGGGACTCACAAAGGGCCGGATGTGGCCCGCGGGCCGTAAGATGCCCAGGTCTGAATTAGACGGTACCAATTAGACGGTACCAATTAGTAGACGGTACCAATTAGACGGTACCAATTAGTAGACGGTACCAATTAGACGGTACCATGCGCAGTGGCTGCAGAACTGAACTCATCCTGGGTTTGAACGACCGGAGCTGAAGGCGTTTCCCTCCTAACCCGGCGGCGCAGCGGCACATGGAACATCGGTCCGTTTCAGAGAAGCAACGCCGCGAATAAAAATCCAGTAAAAGCGCAAACCGGACCGCACCGGGTAAAAAAAGGTTCAACTGATCGGTTTGGATCAGACTGATCAAGTGATCGATGATCCAGCGCAGATTCTCTGCAGGCCAGGAGGATTTAGTGAGGCTGAGCCTTCAGACTGGAATGAGGCTCATTTACATGGAGTCACTTCATTTGACGGATTCTAAGTTATGGGCCTCCGCAGGTTTTAGATGCTTCATCTGCTTTATGTGTGACAACATCTGGATTCAGGTTCAACCAGCTGAATATTGACTGAAACGCTGCATAACCTGATACTAATATGATTGTAATTTATGGGGAAAAACAGAACATGACTGATTTTTTAAAACTGTCAAAGCGCCACCATAGGGTGACGGTTAGGTTCTGACCCGAGTACAGTTCCTGGGATTGTGGAAAAACCAGAAAAGGCAATGGGAGGAAAATTGGGTCGTGGAAAGACCAGCTTCCTGTGACCCGGTTAGACTGACTGGTGGTTCTGATGGTTCTGATGGACCGGAAGACTCTGATATGGAAGTCCAAACAGGACCGGATCGATGCTGACTAACACAAGAATTTATTTGATCTATCTTAAAAAAAACTTCATGTTTTTATTCTTTTTTTCACAATTTATTCTAAACCATCCTGAAACAGGCGGAACCGAAGCAGGAACCTTTTGGACCTGCCCGATCAGAACCCATCTGAAACGCATCCAATATTTAGAAAATATCTGCCAAGCAGGTTTTGGTCTGGTTCTGTAGATGGTTCTACATGGAGACAGACGGGTTCAAGAAGCCTGAGCCGATCCAGTACATCCCAGCTCTCTTCTGCCCCTGGTGGCCGCCGGGCGTCAGCTCATTTCTGTCATGCGGCCACCAGGAGGCAGCAGAGAGCTCCACCTTCATGAAACACCGGGTCATCAGAACCAGGAGAGTCAGTTCTGATGGAGAGCAGGAAGATCATCTGCTACTGGAACAAGAAACCGGGTTAGGAGACGGACCCGGGTCGGGGAAATGTAGATTCCTGATCAAGCTCTGCAGAAAGTCCCGATTCGGTCTGTTTTCCTCCTTCGGGTGATGGGAGTGTTTCTCCTCCATCCACCTGACTCCGGTTCTGCTCCTCGTTCTGGTTCTGGTTCTGACCAGAACCAGAACGATCCTCCGTCACTGCTGCATCCTCATTGGCTGCCGCTCTCCCCCCAGCAGCCAATAGGTGGTCATGGTTCCCTTCCCCTTGACGTCGACGGACCCTCGGCGCTCCAGCAGGAAGCAATTGAACTCCATCAGGACGTCGCGGGTCGCCGCAGACACGTGAATCTTCAGCGCTGCAGATACAAACACAGATGGCTGTAAACACCTGCTGCCGGTACCGGTTCTATTGGGCCAGAAGGGGTCCAGTCCAATGTCGAAGACGTGGCTCACCTTCCCCGGTGGACTCCATCCGTGAAGACGTGTTGACGGTGTCCCCGAACAGGCAGTAGCGTGGCATCTTGAGACCCACCACTCCGGCACACACTGGACCTGCAGACAGAGGCGGATCAGAGCCGGTCTGGGCCGTGAACAGAAGCATCTTACAGTCCCTGTGGGAAACTCCAGCGGTTCGTCCAGGATCAGGTTCTCCGTCCCCCACTCCAGTCCAAATCCTCACCGCTGTGAATCCCGATCCTCAGCTCCAGCTGCCGCTCTGGCCGGTGGCGGATCCTGAAGGTTCGGACGGCAGCCAGCAGGGCGAGCGCCATGCGGGCGATCTCCCTGGCGTGCCGCTTCCCATTTCTCACCGGCAGCCCGGAGACCACCATGTAGGCATCACCGATGGTCTCCACCTGGGGGCGCCGCAGGACAACGCCACTGTTAGCTGGACAGGAAGTCTGCA